AGCAGGGTATGGTGGTGTGCTCCTGTAGTCCCAGCTACTCAAGAGGCTGAGGCAGGAGGATCCCTTGAGCCCAGGAGTTGGAGGTTGTAGTGAGCTGTGATGACACCATGGCACTCTAGCCAGGGTGACAGAGCAAGACTGTCTCAAAAACAAAAAAAAAAAAAGAAAAGAAAAGAAAAAAACCTCTCCAGGCTCAGGTGGCTATATATGGCTATACTGGTGAATTCTACCAAACATTTCAAAAAGAAATAACACCAATCCTACACAATTTCTTCTAGAAAATAGATGAAGAAATAGTTCCCAACCTATTCCATAAGGTGCATTACCTTGATATCCAAGACAAAGGCATTATAAGAAAACTACAGACCAATATCCCACATGAATATAAACAAAATTCTCAATAAAATATGAGCAAATCTAATCCAGCAACACATTCAAAGAATAATACCCCATGACCAAGTGGGTTTACCCCAGGAATGCAAGGCAGGTTCAATATTCAAAAATCAGCCACTTGTGGTGGTGTGCACTTATAGTCCCAGCTACTCGGGAGGCTGCGGCAGGAGAATCACTTGAGCCCAGGAGCTCGAGGCACTGTGAGCTATGACGATGCCACTGCACTCTAGCCCCGAAGACAGAGTGAGACCCTGTCTCAGAAAAAAAGCCTCTAAAAAAAAATCAGCCACAATGACAGACTACAGAAGAAAAACATATGATTTTATCAGTTGATATAGAAAAAGCATCTGACAAAATTCAACATCCGCTCATGGTAAAAACTCTCAGCAAACTAGGGCTAGAAAGGGAGCTTCCTCAACGTTATTGATAAAGTGCTGGCAACAAAAACCTACAGCTAATATCACACAGAACAGTAAGAGACAGAATGCCTCCCCCTAAGATTAGGAACAAGGCAAAAATGTCTGCTCTAAGGCAAAAAAGGGAAACAAAAGGAAGAAATTAAACAGTCCTTAAACGTACATGACTGTCTATGTAGAAAATCTCAGGGAGTCTATAAAAAACTCCTAGGACTACCAAGTAAGTTTGGCAAGGTCACAGAAAACAGACCAACAGACAGAAATCAACCATATTTCCAAATATGAGCAATGAACAATTGAAAACTGAATCTAAAAAAAATACCAAATGGGCCAGGTGGAGTGGCTCACACCTGTAATCTCAGCACTTTGGGAGGCCAAGGTGGAAGATCACTTGAGGCCAGGAGTTTGAGACCAGCCTGCGCAACATAGGAAGACCTTGGTCTCAAAAAAACAAAACAAAAAAAAACCCCAAATAGATCTTAGAGGTATACACCTAAAAAATGTATAAGAGCTATATGCTGAAAACTTCCAAACACTGATGGACTATATCAAAGAAAACCTAAATGAATGCAGAGACATATTGTGTTTATTAACTGGAAAAATATAGTAAAAATGTCAAATCTCCCTGCATTTATCAAGAGATTTAATGTAATTCCAATCAAAACCCCCAGCAAGACTTTTTGTACAGGTTGAACATCCCAAATCTGAAAATCTGAAATCCAAAATACTCCGAAATCTGAAATTTTTTGAGCACCAACATAACACTAAGTGCTCATCGCAGCATCTTGGATTTCAGATTTTCTGATAAGGGACGCTCAGCCAGGTGTAAGGCAAATATTCTAGAATCCAAAGAAATCCAAAATCCTAAACACTTCTGGTATTATTTCAGAAAAAGGAAACTAAAAACCTGTAGATATACACAAAATTAATCTAAAATTAAAGGGAAAGGAAAAGTGACTACAATAGCTATAATTTTTAAAAGGGAAAACAAAGTTGGAGGACTCAGTATCTGATTTCAAGACACTACAAAATGTACAGTAAACAAGACAGTGTTTATGTTGACAAAAAAATTGACATCCTCTTCTTGTTTAAGCAGATAATTGAAAAAAAAGAAAAGCAAAAAAGAAAATGGCCAGAGAACAGAGGGTCCCGACACAGACCCACACAGACATGGTCCAGTGATCTTTGCCAAAGGAGCAAAGGCAATTCAGCGGAGAAAGGGCAGTCTTTTTTTTTTTGAGACAGAGTCTCACTTTGTTGCCCTGGCTAGAGTGAGTGCCGTGGCATCAGCCTAGCTCACAGCAACCTCAAACTCCTGGGCTCAAGCAATCCTTCTGCCTCAGCCTCCCGAGTAGCTGGGACTACAGGCATGCGCCACCATGCCCGGCTAATTTTTTCTATATATTTTTAGCTGTCTAATTATTTCTTTCTATTTTTGGCAGAGACGGGGTCTCGCTCTTGTCCAGGCTGGTCTCGAACTCCTGAGCTCAAACAATCCGCCCGCCTCGGCCTCCCAGAGTGCTAGGATTACAGGCGTGAGCCACCGCGCCCGGCCTGAAAGGGCAGTCTTTCAACAGATAATGCTGGAACAACTAGACATTCACATGCAAAAAATGAACCTCGACCTACATCTAACACCTAACAAAAAACTTAACTCAAAAGGTTATAGGTCTAACAGTAAAACAAAAAACTTTTAGAAGGAAAATGTCGTGACTTTGGGTTAGATATACTTTTTGGGCATGACAGCAAAGGTATGATCTATAAAAGAAAAAAATTCGATAAATTGGACTTCATCAAAATGTAGTACTTTTAGTTAAGATTTAAAACTTCTAGGCTGGGCATGGTGCCTCACGACTGTAATCCTAGCACTTCGGGAGGCCGAGGCAGGAGGATACCTTGAGGCCAGCACTTTGAGAACAGTCTAAGCAACACGGCGAGACTCCATCTCTACAAAAAATAGAAAAAGTAACCAGCTATGGTCGTGTGTGTCCATAGTCCCAGTTTCTTGGGCAGGAGAATTGCTTGAGCCCAGGAGCTTGAAGTTGCAGTGACCTATGATGACACCACTGCACTCCAGCCTCGGTGACAAAGAGAGACTCCATCTCTTAAAAAAATTTTTTTAATTAAAAAAAACTTCCGCTTTGCAAATCACATAGACTACAAAGGGCTTGCAACTAGACCACACAAAGAACTCCAGAAACTCAACAGTAAGAAGACAACCCAAAGCATGAGCAGAAGACTTGGACGGACCTTTCAGCAAAGAGGAGTCGGGGACAGCAAACACGCACATTAAAAGACGTTTAACGTCACTAGTCATTAGGGGAATGCAAATTAACAACACGATGAGACACCACGCGGCTATTAAAATGACTAAAATAAAAAACACTGACAAGACCAAGTGCTGGTGCACATGCGGAACAACCGGTGAGAACTCAAAAACGGCAGGGCACACTGAAAAAGTTGGACAATTTCTTACCAAGTTTAACGTACAGTGCCCTAGACGGAGGAAAGCTTACGTTCCCACGGAAAGTCACGCACGAACGCTGTCAGCAGCTCCGTTCGCGAACACCCGCAACCGGCCACGACCCCACGCGTCCTGCACAGCCCGGCCCGCGCCCCGCCACACCGCCGGCCGCGACCGGAACGCGGAGAGGCCCCGCTGCCCACAGCAACGGGCTGAGTCCGCCGCGTGAGGCCGGGGAAAGGGCCAGTCCCAGCGGCCACCAACCATGTGACCCTCGCGTCGGACGCCCTGAACACAGAACGAGGGTGCGGAGGGAGCGGCGGGGAGGGGATGCTCCAGGGACTTTCTGGGCTCCCAGAACTTTTCCTCACGCCCCCTGCGGCGGCGGCCGACCTGTGGATGTGCGAGCCGCTCAGAACCGCGCCGGATACACCCCGCTCGCCGCGGGACGGCGGTGTCCCCAGAGCCAGGCCGCGGCCGCCGCCTCAAAATCCCGCCTTAGAACCCGTTATCCCGCACGGCGCCCAGGGCCCGCACGCCCCTCCCCCGCTGTCCCCCCGGCGACCCCCGGCCCCGCACGGCCCCGCCGTCGCCTCAAGGTCCCCGACCCGCCCGCCCTCACGCCACGCCGGACGCACCGTCGAGCGACACGAACTGGCCCACGGCCGCGGAGCCGCCGCCGCTGCTCTCCACGAACTGCACCTCGGACACGATGATGTTGTCCTCGAGCACCGAGCCGCAGCCCGTGCAGACCGCGTCGCCGCGCGCCGCGTCCAGCTCGATGTCGGTGCCGCCGCAGCCGCGGCACACGCGGCCCGTCATGGTGCCGGCGGCCGCGCGGGCCCGGCGCCCGCCTTAGGCCCGCGGTGCTGGGTCGCGGTGCGGCCGCTCGTCCGCCAGTCCCCGCCGCGCCCGCCCAGGCTCCGCCGCTCTCGCCCAGGCCCCGCCGCTCTCGCGATTCGCAGCCGCAGATTCGCAGCCGCAGATTCGCCGCACGCGCCCGGGCCGCGCCGCCCGGAACGGCCGCGCCCGCAGGACCGGGACGGACACCGGGACAGCGGTGGGAATGCGAGGACTCGAACCGGCGACCTCCCGGCCGGAGCGGCCGCGGGGCCCCCACACCACGAGCGAGCGAGCCACTCCCGCTGCGCGCCCGCGCGGCGGGAGGGGGCGGGGCGGGGCCCGGAACTGTGGGCGCGCCTGGGGCGGGGCCGGGAGCGGAGGGCGGGCCTTGGGTGCTGAGCGCGCGCCGGGACGGGCCCAGCGCTGGGGGCGGAGCCTGGGGCGGGGCCAGGAAAGGAGGGTGGGGCTGCGAGCGGAGGGCGGGCCTTGG